GCCTATCGGTGTACCCTAGACTGACGCAAAATTTGAAATTTTCGGTCCACAATGCTCAAACGGTTTGAAATCAGGTCCTGATTAGCCTCTCAAAATATAAACTCATTTGGTAAGAAACTGACTTGGCACAAACTATTCGAAGTTTATATGGAAACTACTATGGGAAAACCAAACTTTTCGTTCATTGTCTTCTAACCATTTTCCATATTGCTTTTTCGAAAATGTCTATAACTATTCTTAGCTACAACTTTGCGGAATATCGTTTTTCAGCCAAATGTCAAATTAAATTGTTATTAATTGTTTAAGAGATTGATAATCTTATGGCATGATCAAGCAGCTGTTCTGCAATGTGACTTCGCATCAGAAACACCAATGTTGCCTGCTGAACAGTTGAATGAGCACAATCATAAGACATCAGTGACTTGAATCATTAATAACTTTTGTTCCTTACATTTGATTGAAAAGTGGTTTTCAACAAAGTTGTAGCTCAGATTTTTGCTACAATCACTAATATCATTTTCAAAAGCATAGTGATGTGGTGAATTGTTAGATAGATATGAACAAAAACATAAGATTTCCCATAGTAATTCCCATATAAACTTGAAATGGTTTGTGCCATGTCAGTTTCTTACTAAAGTAGTTCAAATTTTGGGAGGCTAAGCAACCGTTTAAGCACTGTGGAGCAAAAATTTCAAATTTTGCATCAGTCTACTGTACCCCATGTTTGTCTTTTTTCATCAGTATGTCGCTTAGTTCGAGATCAAGAGCACATTGCTCTCCAAACCTTGTGTTCTCAATCCCTAACCCCTAACCCCAACCTCGAGATAGTCGCGAGTAATCGACCCCCGCTTTACTAACGTTAGTTTTAAGTAATTTTGTTATCTAAACAATGAATATCGGCTCCGCAAAGCTACAGCAAATAAGCCTGGAAAAATAAACACATTATTAAAAAAAAAAAACTCTTCTATTGTCAACTCTGACCTATACCATTTAGCTGGTAATATAATCCAAAATATAATAAAGAAGAAGACACAAAACCAGACTAATGTAACAAACCTTTCCCGACTACTCTCTAGTAGTAGCCCTGCGGATGTGATCGTGTCTCAGACACAAGTCTAAAGTTATAGATTATGTTTTGCAAAATTATACAAAAGCTTTTCTTCACTTAATCTCTCTTCATTGGTAATTATATTTTGTAGATAAACTCAAATGAAATAAGAATCTTACGATCACGTCTCGCCAATCATTGTAAAAACGCAAGACGCAATCGCAAAGAAAGTTGTTTTCTGTTGTCATGTTGTTACGTTTACTGATAAGAAAGACATTGCTAATGGTCGCGGTATAGTTATAGACGGAAAGTACCCCTACATATCTATATGAGCGTATACGTATATACGTATATACGTAGGAAAACTTATAAAACGATTGCTTGTCGAATTTGCCATGCGGTTTGGGTTATCTCGCCAGTTTATTAGGCACACATGCGGGTAAACACCCGCTCGGCTGTTCGCTAGCCTACCGCTCTATGTTACGAAATCGAAAGTATAGATACGAGTCAAAACAAAATAAGGGGCTCGACTTTTTGACATCTGCGCCAACCTATTGCTATACTCAAGGCTTACAACGCTTACAACCGACTAATACAGTTCCATGTTACACCGATGTATAGTCACTATATTCATAGTCTGGCGGAGACAATGATGAGTGCAAATTCGACCTCCCTAATCAACGGGTACCGTACCCTAACGATATCGGAGATGGTACAACCATACCACATACAGTTGTGAAGATATTCCGAATTTGTGGTTAGGCGCTTCTTGTTTATGCGGACTAACTTTTGTTTAGATCAAAAATTACGTAGTGGTAGTTTATCAATGGGTTTCTGAATGCTGTTTTTACGTTTTTCATGGAGAGCATCGACGCGGCTAATGGTTAGATGATAAATAATATACTTTTTAATAGATGTTTTACTAGACTGACCCACAAAAATAAAAGTTCTAAATTTCCACCACGGGCCAACCCCTATAGATTTGTTCCAGAAAACCATTATCCGAAAGTTTCAGCTCAATTGGGTTCTTTAAGGGTATTGAGGTAAATGCATATTCGTAATCTGCATTAAAAATGGATCCCAAACCCAAAATTTCATCAATTTTGGTACACTGGAACTATTTTAAATAAGAACGATTACATTCGCAAAAATCACCTTATTAGCGCCCCTCGGTGTCACTTTGTATGGGAGCGAGCTGTCAGTTTGTCAGTTTAGTGTCAAACAGTGAAGTTATTATTTTGCTTTAAATCTGGATTTAAAAATCGAGATGAAAGTGTGTGGGTTCGAAAAAAATATCGCTGTGCTCAGAAAACGAAGCTTTTCAGATGATATATAAAAACTGATATATTTTTCAAAATTAAAGAACCCAATTGGTTCTAAGATGAGTTGGTGCTTTTAGTTTGAATTTTGTATGGGGAATTTGGACTTCGCTGAATGCATGCAAACGATTCTTTATGCTTTCAGCTTCAATTTGACTACATTTTTACCACTGAGAAAAAGCAATCTAGCAAGGTTTTCTTGAAATGAAACACACGCACTACAAATTGTAGCTGATTTCGAGTTGCCGATAATAGAACAGCAGATTTACATGCAGTTCAAATGGAACGGTTGCCGAAGAAAAACTGGTTGCCGACAATACTCGCTCTCACTAGAGAAGATTGGAGCTTTGTAAAAGCGTTTCAAAACAGTTTTTGACAATTCTTTCGACTGAAATTGTTAGAGCAGCTGGCAGCAATAGATTGTAAACAAACCAATACTGCATATGTGTGCGTTCCTTAGAGAAAAAGGCTATAGAAAGAAGGTCGCTGCTTAGGTTGCCGAGAATACGTAAATTCCCCTATATCAATTAAACCAAAAGCGCCAGCCCGTGTAACGTCAAAAAGAGCTGAAACACTCAGAGAGTGGTTATCGCACCAAAAGACACGAGCATGGAAACATTTATTTTTAGTGGTAATCTAGTTGATTCGTTGCATAAGCTGCCTGTATTTTGTTGCAATATACGAGCAGAATTCACATAATTAATTAATATTTCCATAATACAAACTTGAATCGTGATGCTGTCTTCAGCAATGTTGTTTTTTTTACAATTTAATCGAGGATGCTGACCCAGCTCTATGCACGAAAGAGTGAAGGAATATTATTTCAAAAAAATTTTCCACATAAATTTTATATCAAAAGCGCCAGCTCGTGTTACATCGGAATGAGCTAAAATTTTTAGAGAGTGGTTTTTTCACCTAATGGCACAAAGCCGTTGAAAAAAATGATAAAAAGTTGGAAGGGTTGTATACTAGATACGACCGCAGGGTTGGCGTTGGATAACGTCTGTTATGTGTTGTTCTTAATTGTGTATATTATATTTTAGGAATATTCCTTAATAACTCTTTTGCGAAAGTTTGGTGGCCCTGAAAAGGGCCGTTTTGTGGGGCTGATGTTGTTGACAATGATGGAACGGGCGGCCTTGTTGGACGCTTATATAGTAGAACAGAAAATATCAGAGGTGTCAGATACTCGCATACGTACGTTAAACTCTTTCTTGATAATGTTGTGGCCCTGAAAAGGGCCATTTTTCCAACGCGCTCGGCGTAGTTGCCCTTGCGGAGCAGACGGTGAATACGACCGACTGAGAACTGCAGCAGCTGGGCATTCCATGACGGCGGCCCAGTATACCGGAGCACTGGCACCAACGCACTCGGCGTAGTTGCCCTTTCGCCACCAGGCTCTGCTGCCGCTGCTCTGCTTCCGCTGCTCTGGTACTGCTGCTCTGCTGCTCTGCTGCTGGGTCGACGATCGGATAGACAATGATGGAACGGGCGACCTTGTTGGACGCTTATATAGTAGAACAGAAAATATCAGAGGTGTCAGATACTCGTATCTGATGCCTCGGTTGGAGAAAGTATAAGAATATAAAAAAATCAATCGATTTTCACCATCTTAAGACAATGGTTTACTTTTAACAATTTTTCAATAGTTAACAGAATGAAATCAATAGTTTTGAAACATTCAGCAAATTGCTAGAAATATTTCCAATCGATTGATGCCATTATCTCGTAAATCTATCGAGAGACGGTTGAGTTATTATCGTTCAAAATCTTTTAATTTTTCGTAACGCATCCAAAATGACTGTTTTCAATTTTGTACCCCCGTATGTTGCCGAAAGACGTTATCCAACGTCAAAATGTCCCCCATATAAATGTGGACCAGTCTAATGTTTTACGGTTGGAATGGTAATTTTGCAGGTATGCGTTGAAAAGTGTAAGTAGCTTGAAATTCTTTTAACACATTTCCTCCTATTACAACGAAAATTTTATACATTCCGGTATACATTTATATTGATACTGCACAGATAAAAAAACATATGTTGCGTAAAACGGAAACGTTCTGCAAAAGCTATACCCACTGATAAAATTTCAAAGATTATTTTTATGTGTCCCACACATGAATTTTTGCAATGTGATCAACAAATGGTATGTATGTATGTGTCGGACACATACTTAATATATGTACACATAAAAGCCATGTGTAACCACACATACTATTCATTTGACTCTTAAATTTTATGTGTGCTTCTGGGTGGATTCTGTTTATGTGTGGTCACATGAAAATCATGTGGAATTTCACATGGAAATTTGTCAATAAAAATGTGTGGAATTTTATTAGCGTAGAGCCAGATTTTAATTAAAAAAATCAAAGTTGTCAGTTTGCAGGATTTTGTATCCGCCAGACTATAAATATAGTGACTATAGACCGATTTATCAGTCAGTAGCGATCAACACTAACGGAAAATTTAGAATAATAAACGTAAACACAGAACTACACAGCCCACTGATAATCCCAATGTGTACGAAGAACCGGCAAAATATGTGGCAAATAAAACAACTTACCATGATATGTAGGTATAAGAGCAGAGAGCCGATTCCCGAATTTTAGTATTGGTTCATGTGCGTTGAACTCGTGTGGTTCAAACCTGTTACAAAACCTAAATTCAGTCTTGCTATAGTCGTCTTGTGGAACAGTCACGCTACCACTGTTAATTCTCGTGGTGCGCCTACAGCGAAAGAGCAGATAGAAAGTGATATTTTTCTGCAAAGAAGATCAAGTTCAACGTGGCTTGTAGTGTAGTTTGAAGGTAGGTTATCATACTTTTCGGGAATAAATTCAAAATATACCTAAGTGATTTGAGCGGAAAATACAAAAAGATGTAAGAAGGTACTTGAATTATTGGGTATCTTTCGGAGACAATCTTACAATTCGGTGACAAGATAACTATCTATCGACCGACATTGCGAACCTGAATATCATCCATAAACCGGCTAGTAGCGAAATGTATTTATAGTCTGACCGACACGATCGAGTGTTTTTTTTTGTGAGTTGTTCCTTGTTGTTTTTCTGGTTTTGTGTTGTTGCACTTTGTTCGCCTTTGATTCGGTGTTTTGGGTTTTCTGGCGTGACTTTGACGATAGTGACCTTTTACCATATGATAGTCCAACTGATCAGTGTAAGCGACCGGAATTTAGAATGTAGATTAATTAAAACGGAACGAGAGTTTATCAAGGGTTCAGAGCATTACGCTACATGTTCTTAAACTGTACAGATTAGAAGACTGTTTGAACAAGAGATTGGTGAAATATAAAGCTTGATTCTAACAAAAGCCTTTTGTTCGAATGCATTAGTTCTTTTCACACCCTAGCTTTCAACGACGAATTTAAATTTTTCTAGCATGTGTTTCCTGAATCATAACTACTCATATTGATATTCAGCAGTTCGTTCCACTCCAAATAACGAATCGATCAGACGTGACTTTCTCCGATTTGCATGAACAGACAAGTTAGCATTTCCAGGCCAAACAGCAAAAAGAATGTACAAAACTTTGCATAATTGTTTGTTGTGGTCAATTACTACCACTGAAGTGTCATCTGATTAAGGTTAACCCCGGCGTTGCAAAAAGTTAACCAACCAAAAGTGAACGCGACCAACATTTGAAAATAATCTAAGATGTTAAAAATTCATAACTACATATAAGCTTATCGGAAAAAATAAAAATGCAATGTAAATTCTGACCTAATCACACCCAAGCCAAGCTAAATAATACCAGTGAGAAGCTACAATATCCCCCTACCAGTTACAGACAATTGCATAACAACCGGAACTTCCACTACAAACAATCACTATGTTCTTGACCAGGCTAGTCTCATCCTCCCATTGCTTATTGAACTTTACTTAACTCTTTCTTCCCTAAAATTCACTTGTTAGGAAACATATGATCGAAGAAGATTTGATTAAACTAAATGCGGAGACTTATTCTAGTTACCTTCCTATTATTCAAATGAGATCAGCCTAAAAATAAAATGTCTATATTCTTATTATGCTATGTACTATTATTCTACATTGAGCTACAAAATTAATCTTGTCTTCGTCCGTCATATGTAACACTTTTCTGTGATAAAATGATTCATTCTGAGATTAGTTTCTTATGCAAAGTATATTTCGATTAGAGTGAGTACTTCCATCACGGCCACCTGACTCCATTCCAACGCACCCTATCACGGTAAATGGTATTCCCAAATGCCACAACCGGACACACAGCCATAATGGAAGCATTCACCCTTTTCAAAAACGAAGCAATGAAGCAAATTATTTATGATACCAACTGCACTATAGGTATTTTTGATTATTCATTCGATGATAATTAATTAATGAAAAACAATGAAAACAAAATAGAATGTACATTATTCAAGCTAACCAGTTATCGTCCAATTTAACAGCGAATTGCGGCAAAACCCGCCGGTATCACACCTGATGTCAATACCTTCATATGAACGCACTACGACGTGGCTAAGAAATCAATCAAAAGAATATGTGATACAAACACGGATCACTGTATTGGTCTCCCATGCAGGCCTACAGCATGATATTAAAATGTTTACTTGATATTGCTAAAACCATTTTTTTTTTTGCATATTTATCCCAGTAGAACATTGTTTTTCTCTACAACCTTGTCTCAGATGTCCCTCCCGTAGACCATTCTCAACCACCTTGCCAAAGGTGGGAGTGCTTAATATCATGCTGTAGGCCAGAGTAGGGAGACCAATACAGTGATCCGAAGTGATGGTAAGTTGGCTTCGGCAATACGTTAACCTATTACCGTCAGGGGGTAAACAAAGTCCTAGAGCACTCAAATTTGGTCAATAGTTGCTCTGAAACACAATGTATCCACATGCCAAAATTGAGCTCTCAAGGACGTTGTTTACCCCCTGACGATAATAGGTTAAAGTATTGCCGAAGTCAACTTTTCCCCTATTTGGGGGTTTTAACAATTTTCTTGAAAAACACACTTCTGTTTATTTTTTCCAAAAAGATACTATTTTTCTCTACAACTTTGTCTCAGATGTCATTTCGATCAGAAGTGCCGTTATCGAGCTGCAATTTTTTGATTTTTTTTTTTTTTTTCATTGACGTTTTTTTGAAAATATTACAAGAATTTTTAATCAAAAAGAAGCGAACCATTGCCCATAACACACATTTACGCAAAGTTTCATACAAATCGGACAAGTTCGATTCAGAAATGATTTTTTCCCTATTTTGCCTGTAACTGCTTTTTCAGGAGAAAAAACGCACTGTAGAAAATTTCAAGTAATTTTGGGTAAAAAATCAAAAAAAAAGTGTTTAAAACAAAATTAACAAAACAATTACTCTCTTCAATATTTTTTGAATATTTTTCATTAAAAAGCTTAGATTGATGTTTGATAAGTAAATGTTAAACTTCATTTTGGTTTTGATTGTAAAAGTGATCTCTTAAAACTGATTGTCATGTCTCGACATCGTTTGTGGAAATAAAGTTGATATTTCACCAAAAAAAAAAAAATAACGGAATTAGAAAATAGCTTTCATGGAAATTATCTGAAAAGTTCTGTAAAAACCTGGACAACTCAGAAAATTTTATTTTGCAAAACGAGTAGACACCCTGCATAAGAACCAGCTATAGAGATTAGTGACGTTTAACGCACGCACACTACTATGTTACCTGACATATAACGAATATACGTTGTATACGAGTACCCCGAATACAACGTACAGTTCGTCTAATTTTACATTGTAAATGCTATGCAAAATTAGACGAGTCATACGTTGTATTCGGGGTACTCGTATACAACGCATATTCAAAGCCTCCTAAATAAAGCTAAATAATAATAATAATACAACGCATATTCGTTATAAGTCAGGTAACACAGTAGCTGGAGAAACGCCGTGTAAAGTTGTTTATTATTTCCCTCTGGCTAACCTAAAAAATGTATGAAAGTAGATCTGTCAAAATGAGTTTGACATCGATATTCACTAACACGCTCTCACATATTGCACCAATCCAACCGGACGTGAAAATCTCTATAGTGTTACCACCGACGAAGTGTTACTTCAATTTAATTAAATAAATTCACAATAGAAGATGACGAAGACATAAGGAGCCCCGGTAATTTCAAATAATATTGGTAGATAAACAACAGAGTTACAGGGGAAATGGCTCTAATGTTGGCCTATGGATCTAAGATTGGACCCATCGCTAAAAATCTGCTATTTATCAATTTTATTTAAGTGAATGCGTCGTTGGGACGGTACTAATGGATATTTTTGGTCGCTATTGAAATTTTAGTCGATTGCTGAATTTATGTATGGGCCCAAATTAGGGGCATTTAGGCCGACATTACATCCATTTCCCCTATCATTAATATTGACGTCAAGATTTGAAATGGTTCCATTGTTCTGAAACATACTGATTTGTTACAACTTCTCAGCATCAGATAGGTTAACTTTAACCTAAAGGTATGTTAACTGTCATAATACCAAACCTGCAAAATGTGTGTCGATGCTGTGACACACACACTTAATTCAGATCACCGAAGTCGGTAGGAATTTACCGGGTTTTTGAACAGCAGAACAAGTCGGTAAAATTTTCAAATGACCGTTACACATGAGAAATCAAGAAAATTTATAAATTTTATTTTTCATCAATAAATGGGGTAAACTGAACAAATTCTGTACAACTTCAGAATAAATTTTCTAATAATTGGATTTTTCACTGATTTTTAAACTTTTACCGAACAGTTCTGTAGTTCAAAATTTACCGAACGATGGAGGCCTGGATTAGTGTGCAGTACGCCTGTCCCATTGCCGTGAAGCGAGCTTGATGTTAGGATCACCACGCATTTTGCACTGCACTGCAATTTTCAGATTTCAATTCCAATATAAAAGTTTAAAGTGTAAAGGCCGACGCACAATAGATACGTTTTCGGGTTTTTTGACAGATAATGCATGGGCTAACTGTCAAAAAACCCGAAAACGTATCTATTGTGCGCCGGCCTTAAGCATCTTAATCATTCTGTATTGGTAATCATACTTCAAAATATTTTGCTATTAACAATGGAAAGCTGCGTAAAACTGGATGAATTCTAAAAAACTGGAAAATTTTCAAACTTTAACTATTTGACTGGATGCGTCCAAAAAACTGGAAGAAACCAGTTTAAGCTGGAGTGTTGGCATCACCTCGGGCATCACTGCTTTGTACATCATAAAACACAATAAAAAGAAAATCGTGATATTTTTTTCCTAAAAAATATAAACAATTCGCACCATTAAAATGAGTTCTGCAATTTTTATGACAGCACATCAGCGATTTTCGCGACATCATTTAATGTTTTCGTAATTTTTGCGACTGAAAATTCAACTTCACGAAATCCACGCCAGTTGTAACAGCCCTGTAATTTACTGTCACGCGTAAGCTTGCAGCTAAAATTTAATTACAATAAACCGTTTGAAAAAGAATGGGCTGCGACCAACGGGAAGGTCAGTCCGCACACCAATCTTGGGTAATCTTTTTTGTCAGTGTGCCGCAAGTATGCCGATTGTGCCGGTCATAGAGCAAGCTGCGATTGTTTGTAAAATACCCATCCCGGCAACCCGGTATTTCTGACACCTTGAATGTTTTGGTTTGAAATTGCAAGGATAAATCGGAATGAGAATGACGCGGGGGAAGTGGCGGGTGTGTGAACTTTCGTTGTTTTGAGATCTTCTTCTTCTTCTTCTTCTCCGCATTTCAAGCTTATTGCATATCGCATATTAACTTATTTCGTGCTCTCAACTTAGTGTTCTAGATGCACTTCCACAGTTATTAATTGAGAGCTTTCGATGCCTGTACCATTTTTGCATTGGTATAATTGTGTGGCAAGTCCAATCATACTTCTATGCCCAGGGAAGTCGAGAAATTTTCCAACCTGAAAAATTCCTAGACCGGATCGGGAATTGAACCCAGCCACCTCCAGCATGGTCTTGCTTTGTAGCTGCGCCTTTACCGACTGAGCTAAGGGAGACCCAAGGGTTTGAGATCTAAGGGTAATAAAAGTCCTGTGTTTTAGTGTTTTATAATGCCCTCAAAGGCAGACCAGAAATCTAGCCTTTCGGCCGGAAAGAGTTGTAACCGTTGGGGATAGACTTCGGTAGTTTGTTTTGTGTGATTTGCAGCATTATTTGAATTGACGGTACCGTAAAACGGGGTAACATTGATAGTTTTTTAATGTATATTCTAAATAATTTTTACGGCAATGATTGTTTTTCAAATTTTATATTTTTAAAACAAGTACTGAGGATCCAAGAATCAATTCGTTAGTAATATGTTTGTTTAACGGGAATTAAAGCATTTGCACTATTTTTTTTTAGTTTTGTCACCAAACTTAAGATTTTTGGTTTGGGGTTACTTTGATAATGCTCGATGAATGTAGAAAAAAATAGGTGAAACTCAAACAATTTAGTTCTTTAAATTTGAAACTTCGAATGAGTATATAACCAGAAAACATCATAAACAATAAGAATACAACATTGAATTAGTGATGGCTATATCGGAAATACATTTCATAAGTGATGGTTTGAGTGCTTTTTCAAACAGGCGAAAAACACGAAAAACTATATACGATGTCAATGGAAATACCCTAAGCTACAATATGGAACCAATGTTTCTAATTTGGAAAAAGTGCACCGGGCAAATTTAATCTTTACATTATGCTATCAAAGTTATCCGTATTATCAAAGATACTCCGTTTTACGGTACTAATGAATGAGGTCTGATTAACTGCCTCTTTGAGCCTGTACAAATAAAGTAATTACAAAAAAAACTGCCTCTTCCTCTTGAGTCCACTCTAGAACCTACATTTCGTATGTAGATCTATAAGTGAACTGCTGCCTGCTGGTCTGAATTCCTCTGGTATATTCAATTTGAAGATGTTCCAGAACATACAGTCAAACAGCACGTAATGTTTTGAACAACTTCAATGAGAGTTGTCCAGCAGTGCTCCCATTTTATTTACAACAATCTAATGCCTACGAGATTGTGCCGAAGGTATACCGAAAATGTGCCGATGGATGTGCCCAAGCTGTGTAGAATATAATTTCGGCACAATGTGCTGAATGACTTACCCCTTGGCCGTGACATTTTTCCTATTCTCTCACACAGAGTTTCCCGCATAAGCGCGAACCATAAATTGACCTTACCGATAATGGTTATAAATTGTTTATAATCCCTGCTAAACTTCAACTGAAATGGTTATGGAACTTTACATGAACGTTTAATGATAAAGTTTTAACCTTAAGTATTATAGTTTTTTGGAAGTGGACCTTACAAATAATGGGTTGTTAAGAACCATTACCATTCAAAATTCTTGTTTTCTCCATACATTTTCGGAAAGAAAACTATACTAAAACCTTTTAACTTATGGTTTGAGAACATTAATGGTAATGGTTATGGTAACCAGTAAGGTCCATGAATGGTTTTGTAACATCGATCAACTTTATGTGGAATATATCGCGAATTGGTTGCCTGTAAATTACTGATTACCAATTCACGATATATTTCACGTAAAGTTGAGCGATAATACAAAACCATTAATGGACCTTACTGACTACCATAACCATAACCATTAATGTTCTCAAACCATAAGTAAAAACGTTCTAATATAGTTCTCTTTCCGAAAATGTATGGAGAAAACAAGAATTTTGAATGGTAATGGTTCTTAACAACCCATTATTTGTAAGGTCCACTTCCAAAAAACTATAATACTTAAGGTTAAAACTTTATCATTAAACGTTCATGTAAAGTTCCATAACCATTTCAGTTGAAGTTTAGCAGGGATTATAAACAATTTATAACCATTATCGGTAAGGTCATGTGATGGTTCGCGTTTATGCGGGTTAGATTACCGAAGTCAGTAAAATTTTGCTGAGTTTTCAGTAACCAACCCAGTAGTTTTATTTTTACTGAAAACTCCGTCAATTGCAGAATCTCTGAATTGTCAAAAATTACTGTTTAAGTCAGTAAAAGAATGGCTGGCTTTTTCAGTAATTTATTTGTTTATATTTCTTTTTTGCCGAGTTTTACAGTATTTTTATTTTAGCATTTTGATCAATAAGTCAGTAAATTCATCAAACATGATTATTTACTAGTAGTTAGGCTAGAAATTTTTGTTTTGATTCCATACGATGAATAGGAATAAATTGATTAAAATTTTTGTCGATTTTTATTTGGGACGAGGCTAACATGTTTCTCGCTTCTAGGTGATTCAGCCGGTTGATGGTTGTGTGCGGATTGCGTGTCCATGTCTGGAGCTCTACCACAGAATTGAAAGACTAGTGCGTGTCCCTCGAACAAGTGGGTTTCCTAACACAGTCGCTGAATATTGATACCGAGCACGTAATCGTACGTCAAATTTACGGTCGTGTCTTCGATACAACCTCTTACTTTTTTCCAATTCATGTTTCAGAACTAAAAAAAAAACATTCAGAATTTTTGTTGTTACTGAAGCTAAATCCACTCCAGAATTATTATGTTCTATAAGTAAAAGTGAATAAGGAGGAAGATAAAGTTGGATGTATTATAACATCAGTGGCGTTTCCTTAACCTCAATCTACCTGTGCACCAACTCTCAAAACATAAACAATTAACAAAATATTGCTTGCAATGGATAGACATCGAGTAAACTAGAAGATTAAGTGTATTTTTCAACCGATTCGAGTATGAATATTTGAAAGTTGGTGCACAGGTAAAAAGTGAGGTTACGCCACTGTATAAAATGTTTTGAAATTCATTGACGTACTTTAATATAGATTTTATTTTTATTAAAATCCCGGTTTTCCAGGGTTTTCAAGATGTCCATCCAGCTTTCCAGGCTCGGTAATGGCATGGCACATGGACGGGTCACAAATCATTTCATTTTCCTCTGTTCCTAGGAAAAGGAAAAGTCAAACCTCCAGTTAGTGTTAAAAACTACAGTGAACGATGCATTTCAAAACCCTGTGCAGGCCACCATTACCGAGCGTGGAAAGCTGGATACGTCATTCTGGTTGTCTGGGTATAGACTTCTCTGACGTTTGTTAAATGCACAAGTATTAGTGCAGAACTTTGGGTAAATTATAAGTATTAGTGCAAGAAAACCTTTGAATTTACTCAAAGTTCTGCACTAATACTTGTGCAATTCACAAACGTCTGAGAAGTCTATAATAGTTGAGCCTGCTGCTGTTGACACACAAAAATATAAATATTAATCAAGTAGATGACCCATATTTCCTCGTGACCCATCTTGCCCCACCTTACCCTATATGATATTGTATAATAATACTAATTGATAGCGGTAAACCGCGACCTTACGATTTGTGATCGAGGAAAACAATTGAGGAGAATACTAATATTTTCTACGATTTTTAGCTTCCATAGGATTTGAAATATTCAACTTCCATGATGACGAGTATGTATCGTTCTGGATACGTGTTGGTTGGCATGTGTGCACTTTAGTTTCCAAAATGCTTCTATATCTGTAATAACTAGCAACAAACATATAAAAATAAAATTCCTCATTCCAGATAAAATAACTTTTCATTATTTCTCCATAAAAAGATACTCACCCCCTATATATTCCATTTTAAACTGCTTTTCCACAATTTGTTTGTTTTTTATTGTATGTGAAATCCATTTTAAACGGAATAGAGAATATGGGTGACTGATTGACTAAAAAGCTTATATATTAGACTTTTTATGTTGCTTATAATTTATTTGGATCTTAAATTAATGCTTGAAATGTATCAACCTCAATGTTAACTCTTTTGCATTTTGCATTTTTTAATGTAAAACCGTCGTATTTACAATAAAAATCTGCTGTATAAATCCGTTCGTTACCTGTCAGTTGAAAAGATCTACCACAACGTTAATGCGGTCACTTTTACAAACTCATCGAAGATTACAATTCAAGCACTTTTTATATCCAGGTATTGCACATCTCTAGATTTTTTAAATTTATTAGTTGTGCGCAAAATCCTTATGAGCCAAAAAATAAGTGCCACGAAGACTCCAAAAAGAAATAACGTAAAACTGTTGTAAACAGAGTAAATGTTACGCGCAATGTGCAAATTGTGCGCAAACGCTCATAAATCTACGATTTTGCGTACAATACTTTTGGTGTCTTGGGAGCACTTGTTTCTTGGCTTATAAGGAATAAGTGCGGCCAATACATCAACAAGATTTAACGTAAAACCGTAGATTTATAACCGTTTGCACACAACTAATAAATAAAAAAAATCTTACAATTCAAGCACTTTTGAGAAAAGCCAGACTTACTCATTTTCATTATAATGAATAAATGTAGGTTTTCTCAAGTGTTTAAATGTTTACGAAAGATATAAAAATGGATTTAATTGTATTCAATTCACTACGAGTCTAATAAAAGTTAGGTTTCTTTGTTATAGAAACTTTCAGCCATTCATAAAAGTGACCGTGGCGACGTGTGCATGAACTGCAAACATTTAAGTTGCTAACAAAACTCCGATCTCTATACAGCACCAATCCAAATCATGACCCAACAAGGACCCGTCTTCGACTCCAACTGCATGACGCTGACGCGTTTCGTGCTACAGGAGCAGAAGAAGCACACACACGCTACGGGCGATCTATCGCAGCTGCTCAACTGCATCCAGACTGCGATCAAGGCCATCAGCTCGGCCGTCCGTAAGGCCGGAATCGCAAAACTGTAAGTATTGATGGATGGTTTATGTTCTGTTGTACCTAGGAACCTAAATTGATATTTCTCCTCCAGGCAAGGAATCTCCGGGGATACTAATGTTCAGGGTGAGCAGGTCAAGAAGTTGGATGTCCTGTCCAACGAGATATTTATTAACATGCTCAAATCTTCGTATTCCACGTGCCTGTTGGTATCGGAGGAGAACGACAACATTATCGAGATTGAGACTGACAGCAGAGGCAAATACGTGGTTTCGTTTGACCCACTGGATGGTTCGAGCAATATCGACTGCCTCGTTTCCATTGGTTCTATTTTTGGAATCACAAAGTAAGTGTAAAAAATGGGAATGCGTTATAGTTTATGAGACCATTGAATTTCTACCTTCCAGACAAGTTAACGAGAGCACAGACCCTTCAATTGCGGATGCACTCCAGCCTGGCAACAAGCTGGTAGCTGCCGGTTACGCCCTGTATGGGTCTGCCACCATGATTGTGATCAGTCTAGGCGAAGGCGTTCACGGATTTATGTACGATCCATCGATCGGAGAGTTTGTGCTGACGGATTATAACATGCGCATTCCGGAGCGGGGTAACATCTACTCCATCAACGAAGGCTATGCTTCAACGTGGGATCCATCGGTGTTGAACTACGTCCAGGACAAGAAGGATCCGGCTAAGGGAAAGCCATATGGTGCACGTTACGTTGGCAGCATGGTTGCCGACGTGCACCGAACGATCAAGTATGGAGGTATCTTCATTTATCCCGCAACGGCGGCGTCTAAGAACGGAAAGCTCCGTCTGCTGTACGAGTGCAACCCAATGGCTTACATTGTTACGAAAGCTGGCGGTAAAGCCAGTGCCGGTAAGGATAAGGAAATCTTGGATGTGGTACCAACTTCGATCCATCAGCGTTGTCCCATCTATCTCGGTTCCAAATTGGACGTCGAAGAAGCACTCAGCTACATCAAGTAAGGGGATCGTCATTTTGGAGCCTGTTAATGTTAATCTCAAGTGATGTCTATTTCTTTTGTTTATATCGGAATCGAAACCTAAAATAAAGATATTCGTTTTTTTAATGTACTGTGCTCTTATTTGATCCGTAAGTATTCGCTATGAATGGATAAGTTTTTTTTTCTTGATGTGTTTTCCGTCTATCTTGAGGCTTATTACGGATGTCACTTCACGGTGAAAACTTGTCACTTGTCGTCATGGTGAAGTGATTACCATTTGATTTGTACGGCAATCACGGCTCTTATTATGAGTATCACTTCCGTATCACCGTGTAGTGACACCCGTAATAAGGCCCCTTGTTTTCCGTAGTGAGTACCAATGCTTCCGAAGCCATGAAGGCAGCTCCCACACCTGGACCCTACCTATCGACCCATCAACTCACGGACCGGGGACCAACGGCTTTACTTCTTCCTTGATCAGAGATTCTATGCCTTAGACAATCCTGGCGGCGCCGACTAGGATTGAACCCAGGCCTTTTGGGATTACCACTACAACGCCGGCTGAATGGATGAGTTGCATTACGTTAATTTACAATCGACTGCTTCTTATTTCCGTCGCAGCTCTTTCTTCAACATTGGGTTTTTTGAGACTTAAATATTGTTTTCCGAAGATAGCTATTTTGGCTTAAATTATTCGAACGAATTTCGCTTTATTCCAAGTGATGATTTATGATTTAAAACTGTTATAATTCCATACATTCATAAATGGTATAGGTAATTTAGCAAAAGTAGCATTGGAACGTAGTACGTAGCAAAATATTGTAATTTGTACAAAGCAAATATTTCAGGCTCTTTTGAAAAAAAAAATCAGAGCTAAAAAAACAAGTTCTTATCGAACATGTATGCATAACAGCCTGGGCAATTCTTTCAAATTGTGCCAGAAAATCACAACACCCACTATTAGCAGCTACCGGGACAGTTCGGACCAGAGTAAATCTTCTACCGTTGCATGGCTTATTATTCAGTCAACCGCATGTTTGATTTCAAGTTTTAAAGTTACACCAAGTAATGCATAATTTACAACGCCTCTCTTCTACCTACCTGCAACGTAGGAACATGGTCTTCAGTAGGAATTTGCCTTATGTTTGGGTACAAAGTTGAAACCATCCGGTACTGGGCCAAGTAGCATTTCACTAAAAAGATATGCGTTCAATTCAATACATCGCAGTTACAGTCTTTTCTAAAGTTCCTACCTCAGTTTGACCCAATCCGCACAGTTGGGGGAGGCCATTAGTGTTTCCAGATCGTCACGGCCGCGGAAGGTTTGAGGTCGTTGATTTATCTGTTGCGGTGGCTTCTCCAGTAGACCGTAGGGAACATATCGATATAGGAACGATTGCCATTCCAGGAAAAATCTGTAGAAAATATTATTAAGTAATATTCAGAAACCTCTCGAGTAGCCCAGACATACCTCCTAGTATTTTCAACGCCTTTGGTATCGCTACCCCAGTGTTCCAGACCATAGTTTACGTAACGTTTCAACATCTCCATGCGCTCACTGCTGGACGGATCGAGCGCCTTTTGCTCTTTTATTTCCTGGAACAGCCAAGGCTTGATCAATGCTCCCCTTCCGATCATCACACCGGACAGTTTAGGGGCTCGTTCTTTCGCATCCAGATAATCTTGATAGTTGAAAATATCTCCATTGCCGAATATGGGAATGGTCTTAGCTTGCTCTGCACACTGCTGAATGTAAGCCCAGTCTGCTTTCTTAGTGTACCGTTGCTCTTTGGTCCGGCCGTGAACGGTTACCAGACTTGCACCCCATTCTTCAAACTGCGGAATTAGCTCGTGCGCCACATATTTGTTAGAGTAAATTCCCATTCTGGTCTTCACGGTAAATTCCTTATCGTAATCTGCCAGTATTCTAGAACAACTCTGAATCATTACTTCTAAGATATTCTTCCGTCGGAGCAGTGCACTTCCTCCTCCTTGGTTAAAAATCAAATCAATCGGACAGCCAAGGTTCAGATCGATAAAGTCCACCTCGGCATGTTCGGCTACAACTTGAGCTGCGTACGATACCAATTTCTGATTGTGGCCACAAATCTGCACTCCGAACAAATCTTCCGACGGATGTCGTTTCGTCAGTGCCCATTCCTGCATCATACCGTTGATAATAGGTACTGAACAGGCCATTTCACCGCAAGTAATATCAACACCGTACTCCTTGCAGATCCGTCTGAACGGAAGATTGCCAACAGTGGTCAGTGGACTTAGATAGAGCTTATCCTTAAAGTTAATCTTCTTCCGTTCTTCACTTCGCACCTTTATAACATCCTCGTCCGTACAGGACCCGATGCGTTTTGCCTTCGGTGTGTCACCGCTCAGCTCTTCCACTTCCTCCTTGGCTTCTTTCTGCAGCCTCTCGAATTTCGATATGATCTTGTTACTCTTACTATAATCATAGCTTTTCTTACGCAGCTGATTCTGCAGGTCGAAGCTCAAGCACATGCTGACCAAATTATGGTTCCCTCGCTTAACTCCATCGCCGATTTTGTTATTCAACTCCTCATCTAGATGGGCACCGGCAAATCTGCACGTAACTCCGAAATTGCAGTATCCCTTCAACGAGTAGATGTAGCAACTTTCGCCAATGTCTTTCGGTTTCAACTGAATGAATCGCTCCAGATCATGCGAGAACCGACAGCGGGAGTTTACGCATTTTTCGTTAGAAGATTTACCATCCAGAAGGGTCTTACAGAGGCGGGCATCGTCCTGCTCTTTAAACGGCAGATCCCGATTTTTGTTCTGGCCTCGGTTTTTCTTCTTCTTGTCGAAACGACCCTTTTTCAATGGAGGTTCGCCCGTGCCTTCTGTCGTCGCAGAAACCGGAGCCGGTTGGTGGTCTTCTATCGTCGCAGAAACCGGAGCCGTTTGGGGGTCTTCTGTCTTTTTCTCCTCCGGTAGGCGTGGCACCAGGTATCTAGAATAAGGTGATTAGATGTTTTGTAAAACATAGTATTAAATTGTCACAACGCATGCAACAAGATTCATTTGGTTGGTTTTGTATCGACTTACTCCGCTTTTATGTAGCACACTGTGTCATCCATTACAACGCCTGTTAAGAGAAGAACTTTCCGCAGTGGACCGGAACCAAAGTTGTTTCGTTGAAGATAACCGAGATCTTAGCCAGGATCTGGCTGAGCAGTTGAGTGAGAAAGACCGGCTTTGAGATTTGTGACGAGACGAGAACCAAAAGTAAACCAAGTAAGGCTCTGAACCATTTGGTGGATTATTTTAACTTTTGGTTAAAATTTGACAGATGAAAAGTTATCGATTAACCCTGCTATCCGAGCGTGGTTACTTCTGACAGACAAGAAGTTAAATTTTGACGACCGTGGCTCGAAAACCGGTCGATCGATAGCACGGGGATTTTCGAACATAAGAAATAACTTTCGAAATGTCACTTTTAACCACGAGTTAAATTTAACTCGGCAAATGGTTCACAGCCTAAACAACCCAAACGTGGTTTTGACGTTTGTGAAATATTTCTATCAAATCGTTTAATAATCTCCGCGCCCTCGCGAAAGAAATCTAAACGTAACAATGTTGCCAGCAAAGTTCTTTTCAACTGTTCATCAAAGTTCAGGGGTACACGGCCAATCATACGAACTCAGCGACTGAGATTAATTGACTCAGAGAATTTTTTTTCCATACGAAATTTACTGCCGTTACTCATAGCTTGTGAGTAGGGGAAACAGCCCCTAACTGCAGTTTTGTTTTTTTTTCAAATCTGGAGCTCGATCTGGAGTAAATTTCTTATGGAAAGAAAATTCTCTGAGTCAATTAATCTCAGTCGCTTAGTTGGTATGTTTGACCGTGTACATACCAAACCACCGAGCAAACCACCGTCCTCTGCACTTAACGAAAACATCCGCAATACTTCAACTGATGAGCCCTTTAACAATATGCATTCGGATTTCGGATGATTTCCTTATGGTTCAATCGAGGGTTGAATTCGTCATCAACTGATGAGCATCCATATGACTGATGTCCTCCAAATAAAGGATGATATTTATTTGAAAATTGGCTGTAAAACATACAGGGCTCAGAGAACAACAATTTAAGGATAGCTTGACTTGCAAATGCTTTAGATTAGATTATTAATTCGATTGTTTCCATTTCCATATTTAATAGCCATGAACAGCCATTCATCATGGATACACAAATTCCTCGTTGGTTGGTAGAGGAAACTTCCTCCACCACGAAATAGAAAATTTACGGTTTCTACGCTTTACCAATCCTCGGACCACCTCTGATAGCGATGACTATGCTTCCACCTCGTTTGTCTGTTCAAAGGAACAAATGACGTTCGATAGAATTATTTACATCGTCGTTTTGAATGATTTGCGTTAAGGGGCTGCGTCAATACCAAATTAATTTCAAATTAAAATGACTACCATTTTGCAGAGAGCATGACGCATTCCAACTGAAGGCCCTATCCCTTTTCATAACAATGTTCACCCTATTCAAGTGGAAAATCATCAGATTTCTAAACAACCGTCATCCGCTTCCCTAATAAAAAAGTAGAAGGGTCTGTGCCTAGGGGCACGAACGGAAGCTTGACGTAGGACCGCTAGTGGACGGAATAAATGTGAAGATTGATTTGATCAATTATCTATTATTTTTTTGATCAATTATCTATTATCTCAACTCTTTCCGTTTTTGAATTGTAGACGTACCAAATTTGTAGTAATTTTTTTCAAAGAGAAAGTTGATTAAGAGAATCTATCAAAATCACTTGCACCCCTGCTTCCAAGTTTGGTTACAAGATTACAACTCTGGAGAGCATTTTGTGTGGTCGTTGGTGGCTTGTGGTTCTGAATATGGACAAACAGGCACAGATAAATTCTATACCAACTCTTTACTGATGTAAGCTTGATGGCCCTGAAAAGGGCCATTTTATTGAAGAGGACATCCATGGCCACTTACGCTTGGCGTGTTTAGTGTACGTGACAGCATCACGGACCTCATTTTCCAGGAACACCTTCAGCACACCTCGTAGATCAGAGCGGAGATACGTTTAACACCACCACGGCGAGCCAGACGACCGATGGCGGTTATCTCGAAGAACTTTGCGATGACGCTTGGCGCCTCCTTTACCAGACCTTTTCCTCCTTTGCCACAACAATTGTTGCTTGTTAGGTGTGAAGGAGTGGACTAGCCACCACCTTCCTACTGCTGCTATTGCTGTTCACCACGCCGTCCGAAGCGAAAATGAGCTAGTGCCATACAGCAGCGCTCTTTTATAGCAGAATGATGTGCAATCAAGTGGTATAAAAGCTACAAAGACTCCACCCATTATGAGTAGCTTGCTATCAAGTAGCGACACTGACTTTTTTCCTTTTGCGTACACGGCGCATGAGAATGACCCAAATTTGAGTTTAGTTCACTCATAATCGCCAAAAGTGCAGGAACTCAGCGATGAGTAAATTTGTCTCATGGTTTCCCGTGGAAAACCTAAAAAATCTGCCAGAAAATGAGGAAATTGACGAAAATTGTATTCAGTCTCGGATTAAAACCAATATACTAAGTGAATCCAATCTTTACTTTTCTCAAATTCGGGAATTTTTCCCTGGAACATCCTGGAAAAACCTGGGAAAACATGAGGCAAATTTACTCATCGCTGAGTTCCTGCACTTTATTTCTTATTTCTGAGTTAACTAAACTCAAATTTGGGTCGATTTCATTCGCCGTGATATCACCTTGAAATATATCGGCGCCGGTGGGTAGCGTGATAAACTCTCACCCCAGCAGGCCTGGGTCCAATCTCAGTCGGTGCCATGTTCTGCATGTTCTGCATGTTCTGAGGCATAACATATCTGATCTCACCTTCCTTCGGGAAGTAAAGCCGTCCCTGTTCATGAGTTGATGGGTCGATATGTAGGGTCCAGGTGTGTGAGCTGCCTCCCTGGTGTCGGTAGCATTGGAGCTCAGTACGGAAAACAAATCTCGCGTCACTTTTCAATAGGTCCTATCTACATTGATCGATTCTCTTCATCGACACTCTCTTTCGTAAATAACTCGGCTTCACAAATGTTTTCGAATTAGATGCTAGATTGTTGCTTCTTCCATCGAAAATATCCGGCCGTCGCGATTCAAAGTTGATCAAGGTTGATCAAAATAATTTGTACTCCTGCTTCCAGTTTGATTACATGAGCATTTTGTGTGATCGTTGGTTCTGAATATGGACAAACAGGCAGATGAATTCTATTCCTACTCTTTACTGTAATAAGCATGGTGGCCCTGAAAAGAGCCGTTTTGTTGCCAAAGTTGGTGATGATTTAACCTCTGAAATCAAACAGAGTGCGTCTCTGTCACTTAAAAACGTAGATGACATCCATGGCCGCTTACGCTTGGCGTGTTTAATGTAGGTGATAGCATCACGGATCTCATTTTTCAGGAACACCTTCATCACACTTCTTAAATCAGACCGGAGATACGTCAGACACCGCCACGGCGAGCCAGACGACGGATGGTGGTTATCTCGAAGAATTTGCGTTTGGTTCTGAACATGGCGATGAGTGTGCAAAATATCACGCAATTCCATCCTATTCGCACGCGCCCGAGGATCGGAGGCGAATGCCACTTCTGTGAGACCAGAGGCAGGTTACAAAGCGGAATCACGTCGTTCGGAGAAATAAAGCAGCAAGAAAAACACGGAACAATCGGAGACGATTAAAAAGCACGCGGCGTCGTTGCGAATCGTTTATTGACATTAATATAGTTCAAAGAGTATGAAAAACAAGGTAGCATTTAGTAGTGCGCGATCTCGCGCTAGAAACGGTGAATGATAGAGGGGTGCACCGTTGTATCGCCTAACACTCCTCCTCAACGTAATGCCCTCGGTCAGTCGCCAGTCCGATCATCTCAGCAAAGCGGTTGTGCTTCACCGCCCCAAGCGGCTTCGTGAGGATATCTGCCTTCATCAATTCAGTGGGGCAGTACTTCAGGTTTACCACACCACGCTCAACCAAGTCACGGATGAAGCACTCCCAACAAACAATTTAAGTTGATTAACAGATGAAAAGGCCATTTTTTAGCTGAAGAAGCTTATTTTTGCCTCAATAAGCTCTTATTCAGCATTCAATGTTTGTTGGGCTGTTTAGTCTCGATGTGTTTAGACCTCTTACTAATTCTCTCTGACTGCACAAAGCCCAAACACCCTTGATTGTCTTCGTACACCAAGGTAGGGTCTGTCTGCTTTTCGCCTAAATCCTGGAGTAGCCGCCTTGTCCACACCACCTCTTGGCACGCCTCGCCAAGGGCGACGTACTCAGCCTCCATCGATGATAGGCTAACACAGTCTTGTCGTCGGCTCGTCCATGTCACAGCTCCTCCTCCAAAGAACAACACGTATCCAGTCATGGACTTCCTGGTCCTTGGATCACCGGCCCAGTCGGAGTCGGAAAACACTTCCAACTTGCAAGCCGCCTCCCCCCCAAGTCGTAAACGTCAGTCCGCTGTCCCTTTTAAGTAGCGGACAACGCGCTTGGCCGCAGTCCAGTCGCCTTCCTTCGGGGTTTCGAAGCTTCGTCCCAATATAGAAGTACTTGTCGCGATATCGGGTCGAGCACAGGTAGCGATGTACATGAGAGCTCCTACAACGCTACGATATTTCGTATTGTTGGTGAATTCTTCACCTTTCTCCTCCAGCTTCAGGAAACCGGTATCCATTGGAGTTCGCGCAGATTTCGCATTCTCAAGTCCTAGACTTCGAATCAACTTCTGAATGTACTGCTGTACTCCCAAGCTGAACACTCCATCTGCATCTCTGCGAATCTCCAATCCCAAAAAGAACTTCGGATCACCTAGCCAGTTCACCTCGAAGTGGCGCTTCAGCTCTTCGTACACCCGTGTAATCTCCTCCTCAACTGCGCATCCGATCAACAAATCGTCCACGTATACGAGGATATACACCTTTCTTCCATTCCGGGTTGCGACGAACAAGCAGGGGTCGGTGGAACTAGCACAGAAGCCTATTGCATTCAGCACACTAGTCAACTTCTTGTTCCAGCAGCGCGCTGACTGCTTAAGTCCGTAAATGCTTCTGCGCAAACGGCATACCTTCCTCTCTTGTCCTCGCACAGCGTAGCCAGGCGGCTGCCGCATATAAACTTCTTCCTCAATGTCGCCGTATAGATAAGCTGTTTTGATGTCAAGGTGTTTCAAAACCA